AGTGATTGGAATTTATGCTCCTAATCAACAACAGGATCATTTTTACAAAACTTTGCACACCAAAATACTGCAATGGGATTATAGATCTATTCTAATCATGGGAGATTGGAATGGAGTAATTGACACTAAAATAGATAAAAAGAGTTTGGCGAAGTCAAGGATTAGATTACCACAGACTTTTTTTTGATATGAAAGAAGATCTGGAATTAAAGGACATTTGGAGAATACATAATCCAAAAGAATTGGACTTTACCTTCTTTTCTGATAGACATAGATCTTTTTCTAGGATTGACTTTATTTTATTATCAGATGATCTACTTGTTAAGACAAAAAGAACAAAGATTTTTCCAAGAACTCTAACCGACCACAGCCCAGTATGGATAGAAATTGAGATGGGAAAGGTTGAGAGAAGATCATGGAGATTAAATGAGAATTTGTTTAGATATGAAAAAAATATAACAGAACTTAAAAAACAGATGAAAGAATTTTTTGAAATGAATTTGAATAAGGGTACCCTGATTGAAATTGTGTGGGATGCGAGTAAAGCGTATATGAGAGGGGTACTCATTCATATGAACTCTAAACATAAATTGAATCGCAATAGGGGTACTCATTCATATGAACTCTAAACAATAAATTGAAGAAAAGATCTGAAATGAAAGCAGAAATAAAGAACAAAGAACAGTTACTTATTAAAAACCCAACAGATGAAAGAATACGTGGTGCTATAAAACTTCTGAAAGATCAATTTCAAATGCTTATGGCGGAACAAACAGCAACAAATTTACAATATGCGAGACATAATACATTTTGTAATGCTAACAAACCGGGCAGATGGTTGGCTTATACACTAAGGAAGAAGCAGAGTATACAGACTATTGATAGTATTGATATTGGAGGGAAGGAAATTTTTCAACAAAAATTAATTAAAGAAGTTTTTGTAGATTATTACACTAAATTATATGCTAAAGATGACATGCAGAATGGATTTATAGAAAAATATTTAGAAAATAAAAGAGTTACAAAAATTACCAATCAACAAAAGGAGAGAATGAATTATCCTATAACAGTTGAGGAGATTATTGCCGCAATTAAACAATTGAAAACAGCTAAAGCTCCTGGAACGGATGGTTTAACTGCGGTGTACTACAAAACTTTGCAAGCAGAAATGGTTGAACATCTTAGAGATTTATTTTGTAACATACAACAAGGGGGTAAAATACCCCCATCATGGAAATCAGCTTACATTTCTCTGATACCAAAAGAGCAAACAGGTCCTAAAAAAACTGAGAATTTTAGACCAATATCTCTTCTGAACAATGACTATAAAATATATGCAAAAGTATTAGCCAACAGGTTGATGCCAATTATCCAAGAGGTGATTCATGGCGACCAAGCAGGATTCATAGAAGGCAGATATATGAAGGACAATGTAAGGCAAGTCATAGATTTATTGGAATATCTTGAGAAGAATAAGCAGATCCCTGCAGTGCTGGTTTTCCTGGATGCGGAGAAGGCCTTTGATAGAGTGGATTGGAATTTTCTCTTAAAGACTTTAAAAAAGATGGACTTTGGGGATCAATTTATACAGGCGGTTTCAGCAATTTATCAAGAACAAAAGGCACAGATTATTATTAATGGAAGTTTGACAACAGATTTTAATATTGAGAAAGGAACAAGACAAGGTTGTCCATTATCTCCATTGTTATTTATTTTAACACTTGAAGTCTTGTTGAATACAATACAGGACTCGAGTACCTTGAAAGGAATAGTGATAAGGCAAGAGGACTACAGAATAAGGGCATTTGCAGATGATCTAGTTGTTACCCTAACACAGCCGTTGGAATCAATAATCCAGATGAAAGACATTATAAAAGACTATGGTACAGTATCAGGATTTAGACTAAACCAGAAAAAAACTAAGATGATAGTTAAAAATATGACACAAGATCGTAAACACGAACTTGAAAAGAGGGCAGGTTTTGAGATTGTACCAAAGGTTAAATATCTAGGAGTTCAGGTTGCAGAATCAAATATGAAATTGTTTCAAAATAATTATGAGGTGTTATGGCGTGATGTACAGAAAGATATGCAGACTTGGAAAAAACTGCAGCTGTCTTTACTTGGAAGAATAGCAGCAGTTAAGATGAACATTTTGCCAAGATTTCTTTTTTTGTTTCAAATGATTCCGGTGCTTAAAAGTGATAAACAATTGAAAGAATGGCAAAGTGGACTGAACAAGTTTGTCTGGAACGAGAAAAAACCGAGAGTGAAATTGAAAATTATGCAAGATGTTCCAGAAAGGGGAGGTCTTAAACTTCCAAACCTACAGTTATATTATGAAGCAGCGGCTTTGACTCAAGCAAGCGATTGGTTTGGAAGGAAAAAGACCGGAATATTGAATATAGAAAGTTTCGATCTTGAATTTGGTTGGCATGCTTACTTATTTTATGAAAACAAAGTGGATAAAGCATTTAAAAGCCATATACTTAGAGACTCTTTGATGAGAGTTTGGAAGAAGCACCGACTCAAATGGGATTTACAAAATACCGCTATGGCTGGATCTTGGTCATATTATGTGGAATACAAATATAATGTCACTCGGGGGGGGTTTATATAAAGAAGTTCTTTTTACAGATGCGGGCAGATGGCAACTGAAGACATTAGAGACACTGTTGGATGAAGGGATTAATCTAACTTGGTTACAGTATAATCAACTTCAACTGAGATGGAAAGAGGACCAAAAAATTGATATAATGATGCATGAGGAAGAATTGGTTAGACATATAAAAGAGAAAGGTCCAATGCATATTAAAAGGCTTTATAATGTTTTGGTAGAAAGGGATTCAGAAACTGAATTGGTCAAAGACTGCATGATTAAGTGGGCTCAAAATTTTGCAGAACCAGTGATGTTAGAAACATGGGAAAAAATATGGGTTCATAATGTTAAATTTACACAGTCGCAGAATCTGAGGGAAAATTTTTATAAAATGTTTTATAGATGGCATTTAGATCCTAAGAAATTGTCGTGCATGTACCCTAATGTTCAACCAAAATGTTGGAGATGTGATTGCTTAGATGCCACATATTATCATGTGTGATGGACTTGTAAGAAAGTGAAGGCTTTTTGGATAAAAATTTGGTGGGTTATGCAGAATGTTTTGAAGAAAAAAATTCAGTTTTCTCCACAATTGTTTTTATTGGGTATAGTTAAGGGTTTTACATTGGGTGAAACAAAGTTGATATTGTATATGATAACAGCAGTGAGATTACTGATAGGTCAATATTGGAAAAATGAAGCTATACCCACTATTGAGGAATGGACTTTGAAGATGGCCAGCTTTGCAGAGATGGCGAAGATTTCAGCATATCTAAAAGATCGCTCACAAGAGACTTATGAATGGGAGTGGAAAAAGTGGATAGATTATGTGCAGAACAAATATCAAACTAGGAAGAATCAAATAGCTTTTAACTGAAAGTATTATATAAAGATAGAAATATTTGAATTTTGTGAAGATGAAAATATATATTGGGGGTGGAGGGGTTCAAGTTTTATAAAAAGGGGATTTTGATTTGGATTATACTCTGTGGAAGTCCGGGGGGGAGGGGTGGGTTAGGGAGGGTTAGGGGGGGTTGGGGAGGGTTAGGGAGGTTAGGGAGGGATTGGGGGGGGGGAAATGGGGAGAAAATGTAATTGTAAAACTTTTCCAATAAAAAAAAATAAATTAAAAAAAATAGTTTTCAAAGGTGAGTAATATTTTCAATGTACAGCTCTGATTTATAAAGTTTAATATATTTATAAGTGGGATTTTTTTAAAAAAATAAGGCTGATAATCACCTCTTGTATATTACATTATATGGTTTATGTTCTGCAGCTGTAGCTGTAAGTATAAAATTACAAAGAACAAGAATCACCTGTTTTACCAATAAGATGGAATCTTGTATGATACATTTAAGCATAGTGTAAATCAATATTACAAATATACAAGAAAATAACTGTGTATTTTAAACTAAGAGGTTCCATCTTCCAAGTCTTCTTCCCTTCCTTCAGAACTGAATCTCCTACACATTCAATCACCATTTACCTACTTTGGAATACATTAAAGAAAAACCAAAATCTATTTCAAAATTAATTGTTTCTGATAATAAGCAAATGTAATTTAATTTTACAAAGTCTCCATTAGAATTAATATATATTCAATTTAAATACATCCAAACTACTAATCCTGTACCATATTGTCATGATTGGAGGAAGATGTTTAACTATGCAAATTTAGATTTGTTCTATGATCCACCTGTTGACACCAGCAAAACTCTGTGATGCTAAACTCAAAAGTAGTCAGTTCTAATGTCATGCTTATTGTTTGAATACTGAACATTTAGAGCTGATTCATAGATGGATTATCATTGGAGAACTAAAATATCATGTAATGAATCACAGGAAGAATTTTCATGCTGGCTGAGGTCTCCATAAGAGCAATTCTTTTTTTACACCAAGTTCAAATGTATAGAATAAACTTTATATAACTAAATGTTTCAGATACCAAAATTCTCTCTGCCTCAGGTGTTTGAAGGCATAAAACTGTATATGTCAACTATTTTTTAAATTTAACATTTGAAGTAATACAAAATTACATAAACTCTGTGCTCTTTCAGCTACGGTATTTCTACTTATATTAAATATAGACTTCTAATTATTTGTGAAAGCAATACTCCTCTATACCTAATCCTTGATAAGATTTCCCGATCTAAATCTCTCCATATATTTTAAATACAGTTCCCATCAGAACCAAATTAAATTGCTTTAGACTACAAATCCCTTCAGCTCTACCTTTTATGGCTAACAGTCTGTATTGATGGAGCTACCAGAAAGTCCAAACTAATTGAAAGGCCCCAGGTGGATGATGGCTATTCTAAAATAAAGTACCTGAAAATTTTCATATTCATTTATCACAATATGTGCTTTACAGTTAATTTTATATGTACTAAAATGGGTTTACCTTTAAAATTTGGCCTTATTCGTGCATCATAACCTGATGTCCGCCCCATTAATTTATCCAAGAAATCTGAAGGAGAGAGTGTCTGTGAAGGGGATTTTGCAGATCTCGAATCATGTTCTTTACAGAAAGTTGTCCTAGATAAATTATTAGTTATCATTAGTAATATTGTTGTTACATCGCTTTCACTGGAAAAGTGTTAATATAACTTTACAGAACAGTGAAAAACATCAACATGTTTTGGAATCAAACTGAAAAAAAAATCAGACTAAGTTATTTAATTCATAAGTTTTCCAGTTAATTATTTTCAAAAAGTGTTTATATTTGCAGAGCAGAGACATGCATTTCCTCTTCAATTATGGATCTACATTATCTCTGAAAGTCTGGCCAAACATATCACACAATCAGCAAACACTTTTACAATGTTAGTGTCCAAACCGTATAAAAACATCAAACAATAAAACAACTTAATAGGCACTAATTAAATGAGTTTTTTGTTCATTTCCTCTGAGAAAAGGAAAAATATGAAGATGATCCATGGATAATAGCCCTTACTGCAAAATCTATCAGGTGTTAATTATTATGCTTTCATAGCTTTTTGCAAATAAAGTACCAACACCTTCCAACCCTTTTCTTTCCTAAGCAATGGTTTTTTTTTCCTTCTTGTTTACTTAGTCAGCTCTATAAATAGATGTGATATATAATAATACATTCTGTATATAATAATCATATGGAGTAACATTCAAAACTTACTGTTTTAACTTGACATACCATATTGATATATTAATATTCATACTTTTAAATGCTAATGTTCTTTATATACATTTTTATCAATTCACTTATTGCCCAGAATTATTCATTTAATAAGACAAAATTAATAAGGCTAAACACTGATTTTTCCATTTAAAGATTCACTGCTACCTTCTATAGGTAATAGAATCAGATATGCATGCTGAACTGATAAAAAAAATGCTTCTTGATTAACATCTATTGAGACAGTGGCTTCTTCTTAGATTTTTTTCCACTAGTAAAAATCTGTTTCTCTGCTATCTCATAGATGAGGTCATATTAACCTTATTTTAGTTAATCCAGCAAAGTTTCAGTTCTCCATGATTTTATTAACATAAACTAGAATTGTTGTAGCAAGGATAAGTACACATGAGGAACATGGATACTCTTTTCCTCCCCTAGTTTATCTTCTTGATTTTAATACAGCAAAACTATTAACATGTATTAAATAATAACAATTGGGTGTATGTCTGCAGCCGCAAATTAATTTCACAGTTGCACACAAGAAGAAATTACTGTTTGATAATTATAAATTATTACATAAATGAAATTTCACTGACTTGAGGAAATTTTTTAGCTACCCATAAACATTATACCCTAAAAGAAAGAATACCTCAGTAACTTCTCCATAGACTAAAGTTGTGTGGAATTTTTAAGTATGTTACCAAGCAACAGCTATTTCCAATGGCACAATTATACCAACCTATATACTCAGACTATGGATTCAGCAAAAAGAATAGTGAGTCTGAAGCAGCTCTAAATCCCTGCATCTTTAATAGAGGCTTACAAAAAAGGAATGATTTTACCTACCTGAAATGATATGTTTCTAAAAAAACTGCAAACAAGGCTGTCAAAATGCTCACTAGCTGTCGGTTCATTCCTCCTGTTTTCTGTATTGAATGTGAGAAAAAAATATTCCAGAAACGATTCCAGCATCAATAAAAAGAGGTTGTCAGAAAGTACTTGTCTTCTCTAAATTTCCAAATCCAGTAATTATTTAAATTTCTTTATAATCAGAAAGAAAAGATCTGTGTTTGCATACATTGGAGATAAAAAAAACATCCAAAGTATCAGTCCTTAAAATCATGGTTAGGTTGAACCCAAGAGCATTCCCAAGCAGCCAACACAAAAGGTACGACCATCTGGAATTGCCAGTTCTCTGTAAAGCTTCTTTTGGAAATGTTGAATATCTTCCCACCCTCCCAAAAGAAAACCAAATTTTTTTCTACCTTAACATTATGGAGATGAGAATAATGCTGCCACGTTGGTCTGTCTTCCGGAGCTGTCTACAGTTCCCTTGGGTTTACAAATCAGTATTTGTCTAAAGCATTGTCAAAATGGGAGAGAGGCTATTTGCCTTTCATCCATTTCTTTATTAGCAAGTTGTAAATATCAAAGATGCATGGTTAATGTTGTGCTCAAAAAAGAAAGAAAGGGAAAAATGCTACACTCCCTGTGCCGGAATGAAGGAGGGCTGTGATCTTACACACTGACTATAAATTTCAGCACTTGGACAGCTCCAGGCTCAGCTTGTGCGCATGCTTCTGGTTCCATCAAACGTGACTGGAGTTAAGAAACGTTCTCTCTTCAAGAAACAGGGTCGTAGTTTTGCTGTCCCATTCCCTGTTTTAAAAATCCTCTATTCTTATTATAGAATAGCAGGTACATGTGTACAATAGGATTCATTGATGCTGAGATAAGTGGATTATCCATTAGTGGATGAGGATTAATAATAGAAATTGCACAGGGAATAATATCACAGTGAAGAGGAGAGAGGGAGGGTGGGAGGGAGGGAGGGAGGGAGGGAGAAATGAGGACTGTAAAAACAAAGTCCAAAATTTGAAATAATATCTTGCAACTTCTTTACGAAGTGTAAGTAGAACTGGAAAAGGAAACTGAGCAAAGAAAGGTGCAGAAACAAACAAACAAATAAACAAACAAACAGCAAAAGAGACTTACAAGTTTGGGAAAGAGAAAAAAAAGAATATAAACACATATTTGGTAATAGCAATCTGCTCAGAAAAAAACAACTAAATGTGATGAATGAAAACATTCTATGTAAGCTTCTAAAACAGCATGTCTCTATTGAAAAACATAAGTTAGGAATAGCACCTACAGGTAGTCCTCAATTTAAGACCACAACTGAGACCAGAATTTGTGTTGTTAAGCAAGGCAGTTGTTAAGGAAGTGAGTCATATCCAATTTTATGACCTTTTTTGCCATAGTTGTTAAGCAAATCATTGCAGCTCTTAAATAAATAATGCAGTCATTATGAGAATCTAGTTTCCCCCATTGACTTTGCTTGCTGAAACCAGCTAGGAAAGTTGCAAATGATTATTGCATGATCCCAGGACACTGCAAATGTTATAAATGCATGTGGGTTGCCAAGCTCTGACTACTGATCATGTGACTATGGGGATGCTACATCAGTTATAAGTGCAAGGACCAGTTGTAAGTCATTTTTTTCAATGCTGTTATAACTTTAAACAGTCAGTAAAAGAATGGTTGTAAATTGAGGAGTATCTGTATTCTACCATCATCTTCTATATCTATGGAATATCTTATACTATGTTTATCTTAAAAAAAACAGGAGTAATTTTAGCGAAAGACAGAGAGTGTGTACTTTCAGGATTAATGGAAAGAAATTAGATCTCTATCATAATAATAATAATAATAATAATAATAATAATAATAATAATAATAATATAAATTAGATTTCAAGGTTGGAAATATCAGGAAGGAATGTGCACTTAAATAGCAAGAAGTTGTAATTTTTGTTTTGAAATTGTTCCTTCTGTACTAAATCATAATTTTTCCTAATCAATCACACTGACCATTAGACAATATGAGCAAAACCAAGAAACAACAGAGGTGTAGCCAAATGACATAGTCATTTCAAAGATCTCAACTCAAAGATGTTGAGACTCTAGAAAAAGTGCAGAGGAGAGCAACCAGGATGATTAGGGGACTGGAGGCTAAAACATACAAAGAACAGTTGCAAGAACTGGGCATGGCTAGTCTAGTGAAGAGAAGGACCAAGGGAGACATGATAGCCATCTTCCAGTATTTGAGGGGCTGTCACAGAGAGGAGGGGTCTAGCTATTTTCCAAAGCACCTGAAGGCCAGACTAGGAATAATGGATGGAAACTGACCAAGGAGAGATTCAACCTAGAACTGAGGAGGAACTTTCTGACAGTGAGAACAATCAATCAATGGAACAGCTTGCCTTCAGAAGTTGTGGGAGCTTCATCACTTGAGACGTTCAAAAAAAGATTGGATTGTCATTTGTCAGAAATGGTATAGGGTCTCCTGCTTGAGTGGGGGGTTGGACTAGATGACCTATAAGGTCCCTTCCAACTCTGTTAATCTGTTAAATCTGGTAAACTAAAAAATTCCTGATTTGTTAGATCTTCACTTTCCAGAATTTGCCACTCAAAGTAGGCAAAAAGTGCTGGGTCTCAATAATGATAACATCTCAATGGGATGTTTCTTATTCAAGGTGGCTAGTGGATTAAGAGAAGATTCTATCTCCATATCTATATTGCTTCTTTCTTAGCTATCTTTGTTAATTTCAATTGTAATATTTATTATTTTAACATTTTATATTTTAGTTTCTAGCTTGTTGTAAGCTGTCTTGAGTCACTTGACAGTGAGATGGGTGTTGTATAAATTTAATAAATAAAATAAAGACAGTGCACAATTTCCTGCTGAAATTTGTCGTTAAACTCCAATAAACATGTTACCAATACCTGAATTGCATGAGATCTTCACAAGAGATTCCAAAACTTTAATCTTCTGAATGAATACTATCTTAAAAATGAGAAGCCATTGCTTATGTCACCAGAGAAAATGTCTAGAATGTATAAAGTCACTTCAAATTTATGTTAAAAGTGTAAACAAGAAGGAGCATTTTGTCATCTTTGGTAGACATGTACAAAAGTTTGAAAATTCTGGATTTAATTACCATATTTTTTGGAGTATAAGACACACTTTTTCCCCCTTAAAAGAGGGTGGAAATGTTGGTGCGTCTTATACACTGAATACAGCCATTTTTGGCCTCCCAAAGCCCCGCCCTGCTCATCCCATTTTTGCAAAAAATGGGCCCATTTTTTGCTCATTTTTTGCAGTGCTCCTGGGGGTAAGGGAGGGCAAAAACACTCCCATTTTTGCTAAAAACGGGCCTGTTTTTTGCTCATTTTTTGTAAAAATGGGGGCATTTTTGCCCTCTCCCAGCCCCCAGAAGCATTCTGCAGGCCTCCTAAACCCTTTGCGTTTTCACAAAAATGGGTGAAAAATGGGGCATGCAGAGGGTTTGGGAGGCCTGCAGAGTGCTCCTGGGGGCCAGGGAAGGCAAAAACCTTTTTTTCTTACTTACCTCTTCAAAATCTTGGTGCGTCTTTGTTAAATGTGTTCAAGGATCGTGCCCAATAACTCCATAAGCAGGTATTCTTTAAATCAGGTATTGTTTATTAATTAAGCATCTTATCATTGCAGGTACAAGTCTGGAACTGAAGCAGGACCGCATGGCTGACCCTTAAGTACCCCCTGGGCGTGGCTAAGGTAAGGAGGGGTTATTGGGTTAGGGTGGACCTTGGGGGCTGGCTTGCCCAGCCTCCATGCCTCTAGCCCTGAGTCAGAGGCAAGGCATTTATTCCTGACAAAACCCCCTCTAAATGCCTGGCCGAGGTGTCCTTGTGTGGTGCATACCTGAGGTGTCTTTTTCAGGAGGACACCTAATTTTGATGTTAGGTACGTGTGCTGCTTATTTTGCAATGGTTTGGTTAGAATGTCCACTGTTTGTTCTTCTGTATCACAATGTACAACTCTTATGAACCCTATGCTTGCGAACTGTCTAACGTGTTTGTATTTTATATCGATATGTCTCGATCTTTGACCCACTGCTTCAGCCTTAGATATTTCCATGGCGGCTTTATTGTCCTCGTGCATGATAATAGGATAGTTCGGTTCGGCCCATATGTCTGATAGCAGGTCATCGAACCAGACCAGGTTGTTGGCGGCCTTGGACAAACAAATATATTCGGCCTCTGTTGTTGATGTGGCTACCAGATCCTGCTTACCTGTGTACCAATGTACTGGGCTGTTGTTTAAAAAGAATACGTAACCTGAAGTACTCTTTCTGCATTTCACATCCCCAGCCCAGTCAGCATCTGCATAGTACGTGAGTGTGGGTGTTGTGGTGTTCTTGGGTTCTAGTGATAGGCAAGTATCTGAACTCTGTTTTAGGTACCTCAGTACCCTCTTGATGGCTTCCCAGTGGTACACAGTGGGCTTACCTACATGTCGTGATAGTAAGTTGACTGGCAGTGCGATGTCTGGTCTGGTCCAGTTCGCAATGTATAATAGGGAGCCTATGGTGGATCTGTATAATGTGTTGTCCTTGAACACCTCAGCCTCATTGTACATGTCCTTCAAGAAGTCCGGTTGCATTGGCGTTTCACACCCCTTGGCGTTTGTCATGTTGCACTTATGTATAAGTTCCAAAATCTTGTCCTTCTGTGACAGTTGGAAACCTCTGTCTGTTCTTGTGATTTGTACCCCCAAATATTTATCTACCTTACCCAGTATCTTTAGTGTAAAATGTTTTCCCAGCTCATTGGCGAAGTCGTTACATTTGCTAGACTTGTCACCGATATACAATATATCGTCCACGTATATTAAAACATACTCGAGGGAACTGTCTGACTTCTTGATGAAGAAGCAGTTGTCGGCCGAGGTGGCTGAGAATCCCATAGACTTCAATGTCTTGGACAGGCACTCGTACCAACGTTTCCCTGACTGTTTGAGTCCATACAGGCTCCGGTTTAGGATCCAGGTTTCTCCCTTCCTGATGTTTTGGCTAGGTGGCGCTCTCACATATATCTCTTTATCGAGCTCGGCGTGCAGATAAGTGGTTTGCACGTCAAATTGATGTACTTCTAACCCAAGTAGTGATGCAATAACCAACGCACATTTTACGCTTTCAGCCCTGACTGTGGGAGAGTACGTTTCCGTGTATCATCAGGGTATTTTTGGGCGAACCCCTGTGCCACCAGCCTAGCCTTGTAGAGTGCTTTGTTTCTCTCTAGTGTTTTAATTTTGTAGACCCATCTGGTGCCTATGGCCGTTTTCCCTGTTGGGACATTGGAGGGAGTGTATACGTTTAGTTCCCTCAGACTGTCCATTTCCCTCTCCATGGCTTGTTCCCACTTTTCTCTTTCCTCATCTGGTAACTTCAGTACGTCCTCGTATGTATTGGGGGTTAGTTGGTTAGTGTGGAGGGATAACACATAGTCTCCTAACCTTTCTGGCTTTTTACCCCTGTTTGCCCTGATTGGCCTGTCGGGGGGTGTCTCTGTGTCGTGCATGTACCTAGCTTCTTTCTCTGTGAGTGAGTCCACTTTGATGTGTGGGTGGTTTTCTTTCCACCCCTTCACAGGTATTTCCTGTCTCTTGGGTTTGCTCTTTTCCTGCTCTGTACCCTTTCCTGTTTGGTGCCTTTT